ACACCGGCTCCGGGGTGCCGGCAGCCGGTGGGGTGGGACGTCGGGAAGGCGACCGAGGCCGAAGGACCTTCCCTTCCCTCACCATCATTTTTCGCCCCAAATCCCGCTGAAGTCACCGTACCTGAACTCCCTCGCTACTGAAGTCGTTTACAAAGCTATTTTGCAGATCTCACGAACCGCCGATTTTAATAGCGAAAGAGGAGGAATTTCGGAGAAAAAAAAAACATACCGGCCTGGTCTAAGTCTGGGGTTTAAGGCAGTGGTAGGGGAGGGGGTCTGGGGAGCAGCACAGGCTTTTCACGCTTTTCCAGCCAGCTTGAAGGTACATGAAAATCGCAAACCGGAGCTGCGCAGGGAATGACACCGGGGGGCTGCTTCCCTCCCGGGCCTTCTCCCAGCACGTCAGAAATCAAACTAATCCGGGGTTATCACAAAGGAAAGAAGGCGGCTGAAAGCCAAATCGAAACGATTGTCCCCCCAAAAGAGGAGCTGTAACAGCACTAAACTTCCATCTTGCAATGTCAGATTACAGGAGCAAATTCTGCCAGCCTGTCCAGCTCAACAGTTCGCGTCTGCAAAGTCACGAACTTCAATAAAGCAGAGCATCTGTATTTACACCAGGCAAGTCAGGGATGCGTGGAGAGCGGCTCGATCTGCTGGTACAGGTGTTCAGCCGCCGAGGCTGCGGCGAGAGGCGGGGAGGAACAAACACCGCGCCGGGAGAGACCGCGGCCGGAGGCAGCGCGCAGAAAGCGCGCAAGGCTGGGAAGGACAATTCCCGGGTATTTACGAGCGAGGAGGCTGCATTGCAACGCTTGGTGTGAGGGAGGAGGAAACGGCGAGAATCTGCATTTGTCTTTGCGATAAATGGGCAACCTGGCAGCCGGCGAACCGTGTGCTGGGAAAGGGAGCTAGCCCCTGGAAGCTCCTGATCTTTCTATGGTTCGAAAAGCATTATATACTTCTATAAGTACGTATAAACATATATATATAACTGTATAAAGATATAAATACATAACACGCCTATGAAGAAATATGTAACACATAAAAATCACACACAGGCAGATACACGATAGGATCTTCGACTCATACACACTCAGACTCTGACATGCATGTCTGTCTGTACACATGCAGCGTGCTCCTGCGCATCTGGCCGCCC